CACTCCAGCATTTCCGCTCAACTCTTCCGCCCCGCAACCTTCGTCCAAGCCTACCTGCCAAATTATTGGTAAACTCGGCCACATCGCTCTCAACTGTTGGCACCGCAGCAACCCCAAATATGCCCCCACCGACACAAGACAACCGTGGGCTCTCTTCGCAAATCCCACTACCACCGTTAGCTAAGACTGGATTCTTGACTCCGGAGCCTCCACCCACCTAACGCCGGATGCTAATCACATCTACTATCCAACGGCTTACCAAGGCTGCACGGACACGGTCTCAACAGCCAACGGTAACTCCCTTCCCATCAACAATGCCGGTTAAGGCCTTCTCCCTTTGCCGGACACTTCCCGTAAGTTACATCTCAACAATCTTCTTCACGTACCTTCTCTCACCCACAACCTTCTTTCCGTCTCAAAGCTTACCTCTGATAATTTTGTTTCTATTTCTTTCGATGCTAACGGGTTTGTCATCAAGGACTTACGGGACCAACGTCTACTGCTTCATGGCCAACTTCGGAATAGTCTCTACCATATTAGCATGACTCCGGATAACAGGCACGCGGCACTCACGGCTTCCACCACTTCCACACACACCTGGCACTCTCGTCTCAGCCATCTTAGTAAAGGCACTCTAAATGTTCTTGCTCGGCTGTTTCCCGAAATTAACAATGTACACAGCTCATTCATTTGCAATTCTTGTAATCAGGCCAAGAGCCACAAACTAGTTTTCAATAAAAGAATGTCTATTACCAATGCCCCTTTTGTGCTCATTCACACCGACGTCTGGGGTCCGGCACCGCACCCATCCCTGGAAGGTCACCGATACTACATAATTTTTATCGACGACTATACTCGATTCTCTTTGTTGTGCCTACTCCACACTAAAAATGAAGCTCTCAATACTTTTAAAAACTTATGCAGTCTCGCAAAGACACAATACAATAAAACTCCCAAAATCCTCCGCTCCAGCACACCCTATGCAAACACGCCTCAAGTTCGGGATTCTTAAACCCAAACCTATGTTTAATCTTCTAGCCCAACTCACTCCGCACAACACACCCAACACTTATATTCAAGCACTAAAATTAGAACACTGGCGGACAGCTATGAAGGCCGAATTTGACGCTCTCCAACAACAATCAACGTGGACTCTCGTTCCCCCTCCTTCAGACAAACCCGTGCTAGGCTGCAAATGGACGTACAAAATCAAACTTCTCCCCAACAGACAAGTTGACCGCTATAAAGCACGGCTCGTTGCCCTCGGCTACGATCAGAAATTCGGCATCAACTATAACGAGACCTTCAGCCCAGTCGCGAAGATGCCCACAATCCGACTACTGCTCACGCTCTCCCTCCACCGTCAATGGCCCGTGTACCAACTCTGCATATCCAACGCCTTCTTGCACGGAGATCTGCCCGACGACATCTATATGCGCCAACCACCCGGCTTCACCGACCAAAACCAACCACATGCGTTCTGTAAACTTCACAAATCCCTCTACGGACTGAAACAAGCACCGTGACAATGGTTTCAAAAACTTACCAGCTTTCTGCAACAACAAGGCTTCGGGTTTAGTCGTTCTGATCCCTCTCTCCTTATTTTTCACAAAAACAACATTCATATGTATATACCAATCTATGTTGATGATTTCTTGGTGACAGGCAATGACGAGACTACAATCCGTCTTCTCCTCAAACAACTGCGCTCTCAGTTTGCTCTCAAGCAACTATGCCACATCTCACCCTTTCTCGGAATTCAGGTGACATGATCCAAATTCGGTTACTTCTGGTCTCAAGAACATTATGCTACTAAAATCCTTAACGACGCAGGTTATAAGGATTGCAAAGCTGCTCCAACTCCGGTCACGCCTACCACAAAACAGAAGGAACTCAATATTCAACCTTTTCCGGATCCATCCCTATACCGTCGTCTCGTCGGGTCACTGCAGTATCTCTCCATCAAAAGACCGGACATTGCCTTCGCAATGAACCGCATCTGTCAACACATGCAATCTCCAACCGAACAAGACTTCAAAGCTTTAAAACGACTACTTCGATACATCAAAGGCACCCTATCATTCGGCCTGCCCATCACAGTCGGGTCACTCGAATTACGGTCTTATTCAGATGCAGACTGGGCGTCCGATGCTACCGACCGGAAGTCTATTTCGGGATTCTGCACATTTCTAGGACCAAACCTCATTTCTTGGATGGTCAAAAAGTAGACAACTGTAGCTAAATCCTCCACCGAAGCAGAGTACAGGTCCCTCTCCGCTGCCGCCTCGGACGAGCTTTGCCTTCGTCGGCTCACAACCGAACTCAACCTCCCACAGCCCTCATCGACCACCATTCATTGCGACAACACCTCGGCAATGGCCATAGCCAAAAACCCGGTGTTTCACGCAAGAACGAAGCACATCGAGATCGACTACCACTTTATACGTCAGCAAATAAGCTCCGGCAACATCAAGCTCGAGCATATCTCCTCCAAAGATCAAATAGCGGACATCCTCACCAAGCCCTTCTCGATCGCTCGATTCCACGAACTTCGCAGCAAATTAAACATTCGAACACCGAATGCTTAATTTGAGGGAGGCTATTAGCACATAAAGAATTGTACTTATTACCGTTCTAGTATTTACATCTTTACTATGGCTATAGTCTATTTAATGCTATCTCTGTAGCAGGTTTAGTTTAATGAAATATTATTTTCTACTTTCATTCCCGTCTCTGTTTCTCTCCTCCTGTCCCGTCTCTGCATTGCTCTCACGCTATTCACCTACGCAATTTTTTTGTTTCAACCGGATTTGCCAAAAAAATGCGTACCTTTGCAGAAGCGCGCAAAATGGAGATCGATTGGAGATGAATCATGACATTTTTTTTTGTTTCATTGCATTTTGGAGTGAAAAATGGGATTTTAAGTTGGAGATGCCCTTAAAACTATTTCAGATGATAATATTTTTATGAAAGTCAGATGGTAGCGGTAGAAAAGAGGCATTGCAATAGTTTTAGGCTTCGTGTAGAATAGTTTTTTTACTGTTTCTTAAAATAACTTTTCCTTACAAATATTTTTTAGTAGATAGTTGTTTCAGAAGCAGTAAGAATGCCTTCTCAAGCCAAGGTTCATTTGAGACAAATTTTTATTGTTTTTTAAAGCAGCTTTTTAATATAAGTTTTTTTTTTAATCATAAAAAAATAGTGATAAAAAGCTATCCCAAATGGAGTCTTAAATATTTCTATATTTGATGGTGATTAAAACCATTACAATAGGATTTTATAAACACACTAAATTGATTATAATTAGTGCTATACTCACAACAATGATAGCAGTAATTACAACTACAGCCACTGAGAATATTTTCTAGCAATTCTTGATCTCTCTACAAGAGAATAATGTATCATTGTGCCTTCCCTAGTCGTGCCTTCACAGTCGAACTTCTTCATATTGGATGCCTTCTTCAATATCTCATTATCAACATCAAAACCTGCGCAGTATGAGACATTTAACACCTCCAATTCCTTGCAACCATCTAATATCTCCATCAAATTTTCCTTGCAAATAACAGATCCGCTTATCACCAAAATCTTCAATCTAGGCATGCATCTAACAATGGCCCTTGTTTCTGTAGTATCAAACAATCCATGTAAATGCAGCCCTCTAAAGTTGGGACAGTTCATGCTGATTTGTTCAAATATTTCCAAGATTGAAAATGGTTTCTGTGCAATCTTTAGAATTTCAAGCTCTTTCCACTTGCTTATCAGTTCAGGAAGATGCTTCTCATCTTGCTGAAGAACGCCTGAGAATGAAAGCACTTTTAATCTTGGGCACCTGCATGTATAAATGACTAGTTTAATATAAGTAAAATAAATACTTTCCTTCAGAAGTTCTTCCAAATAAGTCCGTCATGTTAAGATGAACATGCATAACAACAACAACAACCTCAAGCCTTCAACATGGATAACAACAATAACCAATTTTTATCTCACTACATGGGATCAACTAGATGTATTCTGTTAAGAATCAAATTGTCATTTAAATTTAATCATTTCTTTAAGATGAACATGCATGAGAATAAAAAATAGGATTTTGTAGCATTTGTGATAAGTTTTTTGCAACAAGATCTGCTAGAGTAAAAGAGAGAGAGAGACAACAACAACAACAACATCAAGCCGTTGTCCCACTACGTGGGGTCGGCTACATAAATTCTTTTTCTCCATTTTGTCCTATTAAAAGTCAAATTCTCGTTTAAATCTAATAAAGAAAGATAATTTATAATATTTCTAACCAAGTCTTTTAAGGTCGAACTCTACCTTTCTTAACATAAGTCAAATCTAATACATCTACTTTCCTAAACGGGTCATCGGAAGGCCGCCGTTTTATGTGACCAAACCATCTAAGGTGACTCTCTCTAATCTTATCTTCCACCGGCATTACTCTAACCTTTTCACGTATATGCACATTTCGTATCCTATCTCTAAGTGTAAAGCCACTCATCCACCTGAGCATCCTCATCTCTACAACACTTAACTTAATATCATGCTTCTCTTTTAATGGCCAACATTTGACACCATAAAACATTGCAGTTCTCATCACCATCTTATAGAATTTTCTCTTAAGTTTGAGGGGGACTTTTCTATCACACAACAAGCCCGATGCATTGCTCCACTTCAACCATCCAACTTTGAATTCTGCATCAACTTTCAAAGAAACTATTTTCCCCAAACAGTTCTACCGTTATGTTTGCAAACAACAGAAGCAGCCCCAAACTACTCTAAATAAATTTGTTATCAGTCTCTTTAACGAAGTATTTTCAGCGATTGGTATATTCTGAAAATACACAACTCTCCTTGGCCTATTGGTTGAGAGCTTTGGCTTCCAACTAAGAGGTTCAGGTTTCGAGTCTATGTGTATGCGTTGTGTGTGTGAGTTTGCCTTAAATGGCCTAAATGTCCCAAAAAAAAAAGTATATTCTGAAAATCGTACCCGATTGAAGCAGTGATCAGATTCTGCAGAGACAAAGCACTCTCAAAATCTGGGATCGAAAGCTCAACTGCTGATCCACGGCTGCGGTCAACGCAGAGCTTCATGAAAGAAGGAAAGGAGAACGTGGCGCTCATAAAACCATACTGTCGGTCGAATCTTCTTTCAAACTTTCTTCTGAATCGAAAATCCAGTCCCTCGAAATCAAGCTTCTTCCAGCATCGAGGATCCAAAGAAGCTTCATACCAAGATTTACAAACAAATGGAAGAACAATTGTGAGTTCTTCCAATCCTACATAGCAGAAAACACAAACCAAGCAATCAGAAGCCAAATTCTCCCACTTTCTTTCTTCAACTTCCATGATCTCTCCGTCTCTCTCTCTCTCTATCTGTGTTTGTCTGTCTGATCACTGTAATCTCTTCTTAATCCGACTATTTCATGGAAAGGTTCTTAATAAACTTGGCGGAAAATGATGAGCAAATGTCGTGCTCATGAAAACTCAGTAAGGATTAAATTAAGATGGATTTTATGCAAATAACTTAAAATAATAATACTATGAACGGTAGGAGATAAGTGTAGTAAATAATCGATCACGATGATCAAATTGTATTAGTTTATTTATTTAGATATTATAAATATATTCATTTTTGAAAATTTGAACAATAACTTTTTTAATTATAGCTCTCACATATATCAGTTGATTTAATAAAAAAAAGTGACTTCACATCATAAAATTTCTTTGAAAGTGAAGGGAAAGTATAACCAAGAAAACAGTATGATTGTGGTCCAAAAATTGAAATGCAAAGCAATTAGAAAATTCTCCTAAATAGGTCCTTAGATGATAAAATAAATAATTAGGCAGAACTAATTTCTTATGAAAAAAAATAGGCAAATACTCATTGGTGATTATTAATGATAATTATAATATTTTATGCCTATCATCAAATATATTTCATAATATTAATAAGCCTATAATTACAATAGACAAAATCTTTAAAATATTAATGCTACGACTATCAAAGAGTGATATGAAATAGAAATGGTATACATTTTATATATACAATTTAAGGTTCGTCATACATACATATACTTTTTTTATATATATATAGAAATTCATAAAAGAACTATTTTATAAAACAGTTCATTAAATTAGTTTGAAATTATTTTAAAAATGTATAGGTGCTACAGGTCTGTTAGTGACAACTATCTTCAGTCGTCGCACTCTGCCAGTTGGATGCTACCGATGTCACCCATCACCCAACATTGCCCCATCGAGCCATAGCCAACGCCACCTTCATCGGCCACCACTACCACTGCTATTGACGGTCATCATCGTCATCATCATTTTATTACTACAAACCAAAAATTAAAAAAAAAAATCTCTTGCATGTGTTTTATGCCCAAACAAAAAACTTTCAATTAAATGTCCTAAATTTATTTTAATCTCTAGAATTCCTTTTACATCACATTAATTTTTCAGCAAATCAAATGACTCCAAAATAATTTTAATTTGCTCCACTTACCATAAAATTGTACTAAAAATATGAACTCCAATTTACATTTCTTCATAAAAAATTTATAACAAACAAATCCATGAACTCATCATCACCAAAGTAATCATAGTAAAAATTAGTATAATTTTGTTCCAATTTGCAATCTCCACACTCAAACTTTTTGATCTTAGATGCCTTCTTTAATATCTCATTATCAACAACAAAACCCCTACACTTTGAGACATCAAACACCTCCAATTCCTTGCAACCATTCAATATCTCCATCAAATCTTCCTTACAAAGATAAGAAGCACTCATAACCAAAATCTTCAATCTTGGCATGCACTTCACAATAGTCCTAGTCTCCATAATATCAAATAATCCACACAAGTGTAGCCCTATGAAATTGGGGCAATTTACCCTAATTTGTTCAAGGATTTCTAAGAATGAATTGGGCTTCCATGTAATCTCTAGAATTTCAAGCTCTTTCCACCTGCTTATCAATTCTGGTAGTTTCTTCTCATCTTTTTCAAGTAGGCTTGGTAATGCAAGCACTTTTAGTCTTGGGCACCTGCATAAATATATGAAGGATTTTACTTTCTTTTTCTTCCATAAATATTTTCAAATGAATATTTCATGTGGAGATGTACATAATAGTAAAAAATAGTTCCACATTATGGGGTAAAATAAGAATTAAATTTGGAATATATACTAAATCTTCCTTATTTGCATAAAGGAAATGAGGAAATGAAATGTTTTACAAACACTACTGAAAAAAGATGTTTTTTGCATCATTTACTAGTAGTAATTTAAAACCTGTTGCTATAGATATTTTTTGGCGACGGTTGCAAAACTGCTACGAAAATTCCCTACAACGAAGAACAATTACAATAGAACTATAGTTAATTTAGAACTGCTGCAAAATTTTTAGTGATGATTAAAACCGTCAGAAAAGCCCTTCAAAAGTGTTTTTCGCTGCAAGATTTTTAGTGACAATTAAAGCCGCCAAAAAAGCCCTTCAAAAGTGATGCAAAAGTCTTTTTTTTGTAGTGAAAATTAGTTGAGAATTGTTACTCTAGTTGCAAAAAGCAGCTTTTTATCACATAAATTTTTAAAAAATAGTAATCAAATGAAATTGTGATTGCTTTCTGAGAAATAAAACATCGGGTCCTAAATCTTATATATATATATATATATATAAAGAGTGCTGCTGGCCACGTGTTGAAAATAAGATAAGTATTGTAAATAACATGTCATATAAGAGATATGTCGTAAATAAGACTCTAATACTCTCAATTTAGGCGATAATATCACAGAGATCGCATATATTGGGCTTATATAACAAGCATGGATGGAGCTACTATATGGGCCACGGGGTCTATGGCCCCATTGGCCCGACCCATTGGTATACCTTATTAATTTCTTTGTTAATAAAACCCACATATCTATCCCAAGATTCTCATTTACTAACCCTCATTTTAAATGTAAGCTCAAATAAATAATGGGATGGTCTTTTGATCTCATCACCATATAGAATTAATTAAGGAAATGAGCATATTCTAGTTTGAAAATCATCAAAATAAAATATGCCATATAATGATTTAAAAACTTCAGAATTCAAGATTTGAATAAAAATAAAAATAAATCCCTTAGAAAATATATTTTATCGCTTTCTATCTCTTAGGCTTTGCTTTGAATAATTTTTTGCTGCTTTCTAAAACAATTTTTTAGTACTTAGAAATTTTTATACTAAAAAATTGTTTTAAAAAACAGCAAAAAAATTGCCCCAAACGGAACCTTAGTTTATCATTCTGCAATATTTTTAAAATATGAAGCCCCAGACAGAAAAGCTGTGAATGAAATTTTCTAAAGTGAATACTTCAATATTTTTTTGTTAAAACTCTTAAAAAAGTTTTAAAACCAAAAGTACCAATCAAAGCGTAGGTAATGCTTCGTTTAGGAGGTTTTCTTGCCGCTTCTTAAAGCAGCTTTCTAGAATAACAATTTAAAATTTTGTATTAAAAATTATTTTAAGAAGCAGTAAAAAAGTCGTCCCAAACGAAACCTAAGTTTTTAAAATCGCCTCTATCTACCATCATTAAGACAAAGGATTCGTTTGCGACAACTTTAGACTCCTGCTTATTTCTTGCTTTTAAGAGATTTTTGTATAAAAAATAGCTTTACGAAACAGTAAGAAAGTCATCCCAAACGAAGCCAAATTCTGGGTTAGCCTTGTTAATAAGCATTATGTTTTTGCACAATTATAACTACTTTCGTATGGTTGACTAATGTTAACCTTAAGAGTCTTTTTTATTGGTTATATTTTTTTATAAAGGTGATTGTAAAGTTATTATAAATAATAAAAAAATAAATAGGGTTCATTTGAGACGGCTTTCTAACTACTTATAAAAGCAGTTTTTTTTTAACAAAAAAAGTGGTAAGAAATTCGTCGCAAATGAACCCATAGTGTAAAAAGCAATTTCCTAATACAAAATTTTCTTAAAAACATCAAAAAAAATAAAACAGTAAAAAAGTTCTACCAAACAGATCCATAATCATCATGAAAAATTCTTACCTGATTGAAGCATAGATCAGATCCTGCTGAATCGAAGCTCCCACAATATATGGGATCGTAAGCTCCACTGCTGATCCACAGCTGCGGCTAACGCACATCTTCATGAAAGCAGAAAACGAAAAGCTGCTTCTTCTAACACCATACTCCTGCCTGAATATTCGTGCAAAATTACTTCCAGAACTGAAGTCCAGTTCCCGGAAGTCAAGATTCTTCCAGCATCGATGATCCAAAGAAGCTTCATACCAGGATTTACACACAAATGGAAGAGCGACTGTGAGCTCTTCCAACCCTGCAAAACAGAAAATATAAACCAAGCAATCAGACGCTAAATCCTCCCACTTTCTTTCTTCTTTCTTCATCTCTCTCCCCTTTTTTCTGTCGCAATCTCCTTATTTTGATCATTTCATGGAATATTTGTACTGGTCTCAAAGCTGGAAACATGTAGGAAAACGGTGAGTAAACGTCTCGCTCATGAAGGCGTTTACCTTACGCTGCGACTGCTCAGTTATAGCTAAATTAATCGCTATGGATTTTATATATAATATTTGGATAGAATGGTATCGAAGCTTAAGGAAGCTTCATGAGTGGTTTCCTTAGTTTAATATATTTTGGCAATTTGGCCCCTACATTTTATCATATTTGTTGCACCTTATGCTGGTGATTATTGTTTATTGATTAGTAATGAGTTTTTTTTTTGCTTTTTTTTGGGAACGGGGTATCTACCCGTTGCCATACCTGAAAGGGCGCTTGTCGTCGTGACTAATCCTCGACTGGCCTAGAAGAGATACCCACCCAAAAAATCTCCTAACCTCCACTTGATTGGGCCCCACTTAAGAGCCACTATCGCTCGAGGGGAATCGAGCATGGATTCCCAACAGTGCTCATCCACCAACCAAGCTAAGCATTTGCGTGTGATTAGAGTAATGGGTGGTTATTTATGTTTATGAATATATTATTATGTTTGATAGGTTGAGGGTTAAGAACTCAATATATATATATAATACTTATATAAGGTTTTTTTATATTATATTTTCTGTCAAGTTTATATATTTTTTCTTTATGTATTTTAGATTATATTAATAAAAAGTAAATATAATGGATAATCATGATAATCAAATTATATCATTTTATTTTGATATTATAAATATGCTTTATAAAGTAATAATAAAACTGTATCAAACAAAATCTTAATATTTGTAGTTATTTTTCTAACCTACGATGGAGACTTTGTAATGATCACACACTAATATAAATTTCTATGATAGGCATAGACCTATATTATACTCTAAATATATAAATGTGCGTATCATGTATGCAACAATTAATAAAATATTTAATGGGGCCCATCAAATATAGTTTGAAGGCTCTCTTAATTGTTTATAGGGATGCCAATATTTAACACGATCAAAAAATTCGATCCGAATCTGACCCAAGAATTCCTAGTTAGGGCAACTCGTTTGAAAAACTGGTCGGGTTCAGATTTAAGATTCTGACCCGTTTGTAAAGTCGGATCAGGTTCAAATTGATCCGGAAACACAATACCAACCTAGGTTGACCCCGCATCTACTGTATCGTCAGTCATCTGATCATCACGTCCAAGTTTTCTAATGGCATGAATTGCATGTGAGTGCAATGATGATGTGTGAGTGCGACATGCCTTGAGGACCGTAATTGCGTCTGACCTGAGTCAAGTTGGAGACACCTCCTTCGACAATTCGTTGTTACTTGTTGTCTTGCGACCCCGCCGTCCGTAGTCGCCTCCTTCAACAGTTTGACGTCACTCACCATCTCTGTAATAACCCGTATTTTGAGTTTGCCAATTTTTTCTAGAGTCATTATTACTCCAAATTGCAAACTGTAATCACTATAGTATTTTGATCGAAGTATTTTACTTACACGAATTTTTTCGTAATTTTTGGGCACCTGTGAAAATCCTTAAGAAATTGGTACCTGTTGATATAAGTGAGGATTTTGAGACCGTCATGTGTCTGTTTTGCAAACTGATTTTTTTGATAATTTTTAAATAAAATGATTTATTTTAGGATTTTTTTTTATGTAAATTTTGAGGTTTAAAATAATTTATTTAAATTTTATACTAAAGAAATTAATTATATAATATTATATTATTATTTTAATCCTAAAATCTAAAACCATTAATATTTTATTTCAATCCATTTTCGTATTTGATTTCGCATAACAGAGAAGTTTTTAGGCAACTATGAGAGAAAAGGTAAGAGAGAGAAAAAAGAAATTGAGATTTGGAGGTCGTGGTATAATTTTTGTCCGTCGACCTAGTTAGAAAATTTACTCGTCTCGTTGTAAGGAATCTTTACACTATTTTTTATTTTAAAGATTTTATGTTTTTGATATTTTTCTGATCAAATTTGTATTTCAGTTACCGAAAAATTTGAAAAACTTTATATTGACAAAACTTTCACCGCGTAACTTTTATATGTTATAGAGATCATGATTATGAGTATTTTGACTATTTATTTAAGATTTTTCACTAGATGATTTTGAAAATATAGCAATTTTTGTCCACTTCAAAATTTTTTTTAACATCTAAAAATTGTATTATAGTAAAATAAAAGTCTTAAAACATCATTTTATACAATTCTTGTTATCTTAGTAATTTTTTGAAAATGTGCATTTTTGTATAATATGATTCTTTATTGTCCACCGTTATGACATTTTGGGCATTTTCTAAATTAAGCTCAATTATATTTTATTGTTGAAATGCATTGAAAATGAATGTGAATATATGATTAAAATTAATGTTATAGTTGTGTGTGTAAAAGACAAGTAAAGACTGGTTCACCCGTTGGTTGAATACTAAATCACTGATTGACCTGTATAAGATGGTGGGCCGACGGACATTCATTTAAATACTGTGGTTTGGTATTATCCTCTACCGATTCATGCGATATTGATTGGGAGCAATAAGGAGATGATTACTGTGCCGACGGACAAAGAGTGATGACTCTATTTACTGAGCCAATAGTTTACTGATTCTGATATAATATTGAAAAGTATCGTGATAGCCAAGAATTTTACTTGTTGAGTGCGACTACTGAAATGCATGTTTTTGAGGTATTATTTTTATTATTGTACGGATTTATTGTTACTGCAAGAATATACTGTTATTGTATTATTCTACTGGTCCTACCACTGGATTATTATTATTACTAATATAGATATTGATATTATTTGATACCATTGATTCACTGTACTAATACTGAGTATGTAATATACTGAGCACGTGATATAAAATATTTGGATAGTATATATACACTCTTATATGGATTTACTACATTGACATGATCTTGACAGATTTTATTGAAATTTGGATTTGATGATTTATCTTATTTTTGTACGTAGAAAATTATTACTTTATAGATTTGACTATCGTACTGGTTTATCACTTTACTGACTTCCATACTGTAGTGTTTTACTAATTATAGATTCTACTACTATTGCATATGAAATTTATTATTTATGCATTGATTCAATGATCATATGGATGCAACTGTTATGATTTAACTGTTGACATACATATTGCTCATCTACCGTGATTTGATTTCAGTTATAGATTTTGGTGACCAGTTGAACTTTTAAGCTCATTATATGTGATTAAATGATTTCGAGTCAAGGCAAGGGAGTAGGAGTGTGAGACTGATCATGATTCTTTAGATTATGTTTCTTTTAGTTTTTCTTTTATACTCAAGATAGAAATAATTATGATTTGATTGTATAGATCTTGAGTATTGTATATGATTTTTAAGAATAAATATAGATGTGTACATTGATGTTTTAAATTATAGAATATGTTTGCTATTTATTACTGATAGATGATATTAGATAGATCTAATTATTTATTATTAAAAGATTAAAAGATAATTCTTCCAAATTAGATTATGGAGCATCACAAATTAAACGAGTGGAAATTTATCCGCATATGACTACTATGTCTAATGTATGTAAGATTGGACAGTTTAGATGAAAACATGTGAGAAAATATTATCAAAATGACTTAAATTCAGAAAAATTTTATTTTTTGTCCACTTTTTTTTTTTTTTACGTAGAGCTACTCTTAAAAATACCTGCCATTTTAGTAGCTCTGCCCTTTTTGAATTTTGATCTTCCATGTAAAATTTCTTTTGGTTAAGGAGCTCTTAGTTTTGAAGTATTTTGGATGTAAAATAAAATGAAAAAGTTATAAAAATGTATTTAATTTTCAGATGTATGATTTAAAATAAAATTTGAATATCTCATTAGTCTATTTTCATATTTTTTGAATTTTGTTTGTATGCTAAATTCACAATAATTTACAATACATCACCTGACCCGACCTCTCAACACTATTGTCATCTTTGTCTTCAATTGTGTCGATTGATTTGACGTTAGGTTAAACTCACCAGTGTAATTAGGGGTGTGAGTCAAGAAGCTGACTTGTGAGCTGGCTCAAACTCGGTTGGATAAACAGCTCTTCAGTTGAGTTCGATATATATGCTAACGAGTCAAATTTGAGCCAGTCCCGACTCAACTCGTTAGCTCGCAAGTTGATTCATTTAAAAATATTAATATAAATGATACGTCATCACAAAATTATCTTGATTGGGCACGAATCTCGAGGCAAAATCAGTTCGGAAACTTCAATTTAAGTATATAGTGGTTGAAAATATTTGAAAATTATATCCACTTTCATATATTAAGTCGTTCTTTATTATTTTTCTTATAATTTCATATTCTTTTTATCATTTTATTATAATAATTACTTAAACCATAATAGTTTTCTTTCTATTTTATAATAAATGAGCTGGCTCTTGAACCTGCTCAAACTCGTTGAATAAAGATCAAGCTCGAGCTCGAACTCGATTAATTAATCAAGCTCAAATTCGAGTAAAGGGTGGCTCGAACTTAACTTGACTCGTTTACATGCTTAGGCGCAACCAAGATACCCAATTCTACACGATCCCTCTCTTAATTGTGTCGACCTCTCACTATTGCACCATATTGAAACTCGTCGACCCTACTCCCGCACCATGCCGCACCTCATCGCGCCCAAGGGTGCCTCCCTAGCATTAAGATGGCCTCCCTCACCTCCATTGTCACTAACAACATGTCATGGGTTTTTATTTTTAGATTATTTATTATTAATTTTAACTAAATATAAAAAAAATAATATTGTAAATTTAAATAGATTATGTTTATTTTCCTTGAAATGAATTCCCACTCCTGCCCTTAACCAAAATAATTAAAAAAAAAACCTATCGTTTCAATAAGTAATTATGTGGATAGAATGGAATCAATGGTGGGGAAGCTTTGCGGGTGCAGGACGCTAATTGATTGAGCTGTGGGGCCATTAACAACGCAGCAAACAAAAAATCTTTGGATTAGTATTAAAGGCTCATTTAATTACTCAGCTAAATGAAAATTTAAGAAGTATGATATCTTATTAAATAAGCTCCTTGGATATTAGTTTGCTCGTTTATTTATTTACAATTATAAATGTTCTATGATATGTAATGGTTTGTTCGGTAATAATTTTAAATTAGAGGTGTCAAATGGGTTGACGGATCATATTTGGATCTGATTCGAATTCAGTCAAATCGAATTCGACCAATTTATTAAACATGTGAAAAAGCTCAATCTGAATCGTACCCGCTAGCAACCTGAACTTGACTTGTTAATCCATTTTGGTTTTAATTTTTTCAATAATTTATTAACTATAAAGTTTAAGGTATTTGATAAAAAATTAGAATAATATACCCACAAATGAGTTTTTTAAAAAATAATAATAATATTAACTGGATCATTTTCAAATAAAAAATGAGTTTGTGAGTCATTCCGAATCCAAATTGTTTAAAAAATAGGTTGACAAAATTCAACCCTAATCCAACCCATTTATTTAATGGGTCAATTTTAACCCAAAATTTTCAGGCCAGTTCGAGTCGGGTCCTTTATTGACATCCCTATTCAAAATAATAATCATTTGATGCTTCTTCTTTCTTAGTTTTTTTAATAATATTATTTTTTTTATCAAGTTTATATTTGCCTTATCTATTTTAAGTGAAGTATAGCACTAAAATATAAGTATAATGGATGTGAATTGGTTCTTGCTGTTGCTTCTCTTGTGCCGCCTGATGATCTAATTGTGTCAATCTCTTCTGTGGTACTGGGGTGAATAAACATCTTGTTGATGTTCCTATTGCTTTACTTTCTTCTAACACCTTGACTGCTCTTGTGGGCATGAGATCGAGGAAAACTATTATGGAGAAAATTGATTGGCTCGAAGGCTCTCATTCTTATCTTTCTGAGGTTGGTGAGAAGAAAGTGTTTGAACAAAATGACTTACTTAATCTGAATGAAAATCACGTTATGCGTGATACTTTCGTTCAGATGGGTAAACAGAGTAAGAGGAAATCTAAAAAAATAGATTTTTATGTGGTTGGATTGGTGGTTGTTGCTTAGATCCAGTGGGGTTGCTGTTGTGGTGCCAGTTTTTTGATTGCTAGGCTACGACTTTGGATGACGTTGTAGCTTTGGCTATAGATTGTTGACTGATGGACTTTGGTGACTTCCTATGGCTCGTGTGCTATTCATTATGTTTGGCTTGGCTTCCTTTTGTTTTTGTCTTGAATTCTGTATTTAAGTTGATGCAGAGGCTCTTGTATTTTTAGTGAGCTTAGAGTTATTAAGGACTTGTATTTTTTCTCTTTTTTAACACATAGGTCTCTTCCGTGAGGATATATATATATATATATATATATATATGAAATTAAAATATAATAAAATTTTGAAAATTTGTGCTACAAAATTCTTATATAACCTGATTTTTTTATTAATTCATATAACTTATAAATGTCAAAATCATGAAAAAATATATTTTATTTTATATAAATTAATATTAGTGATATTTTGATGTCATTTAGATATTAGACTATTATATAATTAAACATGAAAATTTAGGTGATCAATAGAAAAAAAAATCATAAAAACTTTATGATATATATACATATAACTTTTTTTGTTTGCTTTTGTATATAAATTATGAATAATTAAAGCAAAATAAAAAATGATGCCAAATAAAGCTTTATTTTTTTTTAACTTAACGTATTATTTTTATTTTCCACCTGTGTAATATTCTTTAATTAATTATATTTTGCATCATAAGATAAATGCCTTTAATAATAATCTCTCTTTGTAAGAGGTACGGGGTAATTAATCCTCACAAGGATTTATTAATTAATATCCTGGTTTTATGCTTACGGAGATCATCAGATGGGGTTAGTTATGTGCACCATATAAAGCTAGACATGAGAAGTGAATGAATGCAACAGGAAATATATTAGCAAAAAATATCTACATCATAAGCTACTGATATAAATATTATGTCTTTATTTTGGTGTATTCATTATTTAAAATTGCTATGCTTTTCTCAATCCTTCACCAATTACTCAACCCACATATACATTTGTACCATGCCATTTAACTTGGCAAGAATATTCATTCTTAATAATAAAAAGTGAATAATTTCTTATATAACATTCAATATTTATTTATTCATAAATTTAATTAATTTATTTTAATTTATAATAATAATAATAGCACTAATTTTTGAAAAAATACAATAAAACCACAAATCATGCAAATACATAAATATGTTTTTTTTTCTTGGTTGTTAGATTCATCAATAAAAATAATTTGAGAGAAGCATGTCATTTTTTATAATATATTATTAAATAATAAAATTATAAGGTGTTACTTGCATTTTACAAAAAAAAAAAAAGAATCCCAACACTCAAAAATGAGCTCAAACATCAAAATCATTATACTTTTACTTAACGAGGAAAAAATATATTTTTAAAAATTAAAAAATTTTCTTTAAATTAGTATTTATATTACACAAATAAAAAAATAAATATAATAATTTTTTAACTCATTATATTCATATGAAAATATTCCAATACAAATTTTTTTCCTTGCTAATAATCTCCAAAAATGAAAGCCAAAAACAAATTACCATATCCGTACAAACCATTTACATAATATTCCTCTACCTTAGAACCCTCGCACGCAAATTTCTTGATTCGAGATGAAGCCTTCTTCAATATTTCATCGTCGGCATCAAATCCCCTGCATCTTGATACATCCACCTCCTGCAACTCCTTGCATCCATTCAAGATCACCATCAATTCCTCTCTTCTGAGAAAAGATCCTCTCATCACCAAACTCCTCAGCTTCGGCAAACACTTAACAATGGCTTCTGCGTCTTTTCCCTCAAAATGCCCGCACAGATGAAGCCCCATGAACTTAGGGCAATTAGCCCTAATTTCTTCAATCAATTCCAAGAATAAGATTGGCTTCCATTTCATCTCCAGTATCTCCAGATCCTTCCATCTTGCTATCAATCCAGGGATTTGTTGATCATCTTGGCGGAGCAGAGTCGGCAACGCTAATACCTTTAACCTAGGGCACCTGCAAGAGAAATAGGGCTCAAGTTTCAACTTTGATTTGCAGCAATGAGATAAGAAACATACTCGATTGAAGCCAAAACCAGATCTTGGTAAAAAGAAAGGCCGAGCTTGGACGGAATGGTGAGCTTGATGGCCGATCCATGACTTTTTGAAATGGAGAGCTTCATGAAGGACGCGAAGGAGAAATTAGGGATTTGGTATTCCTGATTGAATCTGGCGATGAATTTGCTGTTGGTGGTGAAATCCATATCCTGGAAGTCGAGAATTTTCCAGCATTCGGGATCTAAGGAAGCTCGATGCCATGTTTTGCAGACTAAGGGGACTCCGATGCTGAGATCTTCTAACCCTAATTTGGAGAAGATGCAGACCAAGCAATCAAAGGTAAGTTCCTCCCACTTTCTTTCTTCCATGGCTTTATCCTCTGGATTATCCACGCAGCAACTAAATCCTTTTTATAGAGAAAAATGGTGGAACAAGTAGGTAATTTGTCACTACTTGTTATAGGGCGATGTCATCACTTGCTACATGTTATATACGCATATCGTTGAGTTTAATTCTCTCTGTAATTATCTTCAAGTAATATAAATACATAACATCATAGACCACTGTAAATTACAGCCATGAAAAGTTTTCAATTATTAACAATCAAATTTCATAAAAACTTACCATATTTTTCATTCTCATAATTAATATTACATCACGAGCCCACATCATTTATCCAGCTAAGGCATCTCCAATCGAAAACTCATTTTTTTACTTCAAAATACAGTAATATATCTCCAATTGAACTCTATTTATGGGGAAGTTATTCTGTGCGGACACTAAACGCAGTTTATCGTCCAGAGGCCAATCAGAATGTGCCACATCAGCAGTACTGAGCAGTAGTGAGCAGAACCGAATCGGGTACTGAGCAGAGGGTCACATGACACGTTCTGGTTAGTATATATATGATGTTCGGCGTCCGCACAGAATAATTTCTCATATTTTTTACACAAAAAAATATTATATGTATATTCTTTCTCAATCGAACTCCACGTAGATTTTCTCGCGTTTCTCTACTTCTACCCTTCTCTCCTCCGTCATTTCAAGATTTAAAAAAAATGTGTTTGTAAACAGTGCAATGCCAATATTGACATCGCATTGTTCATGACGCAAAAAGGCGACTGTAAACGGCTGTAATTGGCATTCGGGTGGAGCTTAAGGCAGACGACAAACACCTATTTATAGTACATTTGGAGATGATCTAACACACATATGAGAAACTTTGATGGTAATATTCTAATGATGAAATTACTCGTGTATTTCTTCAACAATTTATCCATTTTTTTATTTAATCAATAATAATATATTGGGTACTTGGTGAACACAAGCCTTGGATCCTTATCAACTAAGCATATATTTGACTTTGTTCAGAATCTTTGAAGCTTTATCCGATTAACATATATGTGTGACATGCTTCACAGTATTACTTTATGCTTCTTATATTTATATATATTTATTAGATAGGTCTTTCATTCCATCATAACAATAAAAAATATGAATTGATCAACTAACTTCCAATTTAATTTTAGTTTATTTAAATATTTCATTATTCTATTAAATTCTAATTATGGGTGTCAATTCGGGTCAGCGGGTCGGGTTTGGGTCGAACCCGGAATTGACTCGGAACTGTTTGGGTCAACCCGAACCCGATCCGTTTTTAAAAACGGGTCAGGTTTCCGGACCCGAACCTGACTATTTTCGGGTAAAAAATCGGGTCAATATTCGATTTTCGGGTCAAAATTGGGTAAAAAACGGATCAATCTTGGGTTTCCGGATCAAATAGGAGTTTTCGTGTCATTTTCGGATCATTTTAGGGTTGTTGGATCAACCCGAACCAAACCCGTTTTTTAAAACGGGTTGATTTGTTGAACTTGAACCCGACCCGTTTCGGGTCCGGGTTGACCCTAACCTGGATTTTTCCGGGTCGGGTTCGAGTCGTGTTTCGGGTCGTGTCAAAAATTGACACCCCTAATTATAACAAGTATAGCCATCAATGTTATGTTGAGCTTTAAATTACGGCGTTGTTTGAGTTAGCTTTCTTGCTATTTTACTTCTCAGATATTAATTATAGTTGTTGTTTGAATACTGCTTTATTTTTTCATTGCTAAGAATCTACTTTTGACAGCATCTTTTAAAAAAATTAATTTCTCTACAACAATTTTATAATCACTTTTATAAAAACATTGCAACTATCTCCTAGAGATCAAGTTAGATTTGAATTTAATTAGATCTAATGAAATTGAAATAATCTTGGGCATTTATTTAATTATTTTCTTTGTGATAAATATATAGCTTTTTTGGAAAAAGAAAAAGGAAAAGAAAAATTATGGATACCAACACTGCAACAGTGACCTATAAATGTTAGGTAAGCTTGATTGATTTTGACAGAAGCACTAAGCATTAGAAGCTTTCCATACCGACAAAAGAAATATTAATTTTATTTTATTTATTTTCACTGATTTTATTATTTTTGCTTTATGAATAGGACTTTGAAAAATGAAAGCTTATGTGTATGGATAATATCGCCCCTCGATCGACCTCAAAATTCAAGATTTTGAGTGGAGTGGCATTCAAGTTAGGTATGAAATTAATGATTTTTAGCTTAATTTATTGATTCGAATAAAATCTATTAATTTTATAAAATATTTTGAACTCATTAATTAGGACTATTAGTTTATTACTGATATAAAATAATAAAATTTTAATTTTGAATAAAATGTCATCAAAAGTAAATATAAATGTATGCATAGGTTAAAATGTTAAATATGCATATTTATGTGTATATATTTTAATACTCATAAATATATGCATATATTATATATCGATCCAATTTGATTTAATTTAAATTTATTTACAACGAGTAAGAATATTAATTTAGATTTGGAGTTAATTTAAAGTCTAAAGATATCTAATGAGTTTAGAGTTTTAGGTAAATTAATTATCCTAATTTATTTATGAGTATATATTTAAAAAATCATAGAGTTCTACCTAACATCGATTTCATGCTATTGTTGTATGACCTACATCATTGGATCATTCATGCTTGACGTCAACCAAATAACATGGTCGTAGGACCATCATCACCCAATCACAGTTATCGAATCATCATCATTCGATTACCATCGCATGTCTTCTACCCATAGAATCGTTGCTGCTCAACTATTGCCAACGAATCTTTCTCACCCGATCATAGTCGATGGAATACCATTGTTCGACCACTGTTGTTAGATCATCACCACCTGACTTAGGATGAGTTTACTACGATATTCAGAATGCGGTTTGTACCTCCTTCAACTCGACGATATATGCATGAAGCTTTTATCAAGTTGGAGTAGGGATGCAAGATAGTGATGCAATACGAGACTAAGCTTATTGCACTAGCTAGATATGCTCCTCACTTGATCTCTACTATTGAAGATAAGTGGTACAGATTTTTACAGGGATTGAACAAAGAGCTAAGACATTCGCTAGTATCTTTATAAATTAAGGAGTTTTTTGAATTGATGGAGTGGGTTAGATCATTACATGAAAGTAGCGTATAATTTTTTGGTGAAAAATTTGATTTTTTTGGCGGATTTCTAACGAAAACATTTTTGACGAGACTAAGCTTATTGCACTAGCTAGATATGCTCCTCACTTGATCTCTACTATTAAAGATAAGTGGTACATTTTTTTATAGGGATTGAACAAAGAGCTAAGACATTCGCTAGTATCTTTATAAATTAAGGAGTTTTTTGAATTGATGGAGTGGGTTAGATCATTACATTAAAGTAGCGTATTTCCTACAAATTTTTTGGTGAAAAATTATGATTTTTTTGGCCGATTTCTAACGAAAACATTTTCGACGGTAAATCGAGCATCGGAAAAAAAAAAAATTGGTGAAAAACATGACGTTCTTATAGCTCATGAACGGGCTCATTTATCATGAAAGATAAAAATAATTTTCATTTAAATAATTATTACAATACAACTCATCTTTTTCTAATGGGTGGGAGCTTAGGGTATAAACTAAGAAGTCTTAGGTTTGAGTCTTGTGTATGTGATGTGTGTGTGAGTCTGTCTTAATTGACCTTGATACGTCTTAAAAAAATTATCTTGATCAGGCACGAATCTCGAGGCAAGATCAAGTTGGAAATTTCCAAAATTAAAATTTGGACCATCCGAACTCCGATTTTAGCAAACTTCCAGTTGAACTGAGCGTCTCAGAAATACGAACCCAACGACACCAAAACCGACTTAATCCGAGTCCAAATGGATCCAAATCAATGGTTCGAGCTATTGGAGGGTTCAAACCATAATTTTGATTAATTAATTAAAATTAACAATTTTAATTAATATTAAAATTAAGTTGATACATTAACATTTAATTATAATAATTTATCAAATTTATAATTAATTAAAATAAATTATTAAATTTATAATTATTTAAAATAAGCTATAAAATTATTAAATATGAATTATTTTTTCTAGAAATTTTTAAATCCGCTGAAAAATCCACTGAAAAATTCTTCGGAAAAAAACACGTCGGAAATACGCTGGAACAATGCTGAAAAGCCTACTTACAAATTAGTCAAAAATTTGTCATCATAATTCGTCGAAAATCCGATGGAAAATCCAAAGGAAACTATTCCGCCGGAAAGCCGACAAAAAATTCGTCAGTAATGGGCGATTTTCCTATAGTGGATTGATAGAGATTGATTTGACATAACAAACATTCAGATATGAGGTAGACTACATATATCATGTCAGTAGAAAGAGAAGAGACGAGACAAGTAGGGATTGATACCAAAACAATGCTAATGAGAAGAAAAAATATATATAATGATTTGAGGGATATGGATCAATGACATCTACACATAGTTATGGTGAGTGCATTCATTGTGGTTGATAACATGCGGGCCAATGTTACCTATTGATTGGATGCTATTTTTGTTGTGGACAGTGGGGACATAAGGTTGCAGATTGTCCTTAGAGGGGATTTGAAGGATGAACTGATTCTGATGTAGGGCATTCCATACATAATGTGAACATATGATTGTATATGGACTATAGGGTCAAGAACATATAGTGAGAGATCAACCAGTAGTGTGAGTGACAGAGTTATTAGTAGCAGTTAGAATGAGACTATTGCACCACAGCCAACGACATCTACTCCAGTGATGTCATGTGTGTATAACTTACATTATTTGAAAGACCGACAACGACCTGAGAGTTCTAATGGTAAGAAGTTTATTTTAAATGATTACATGACATAACATATCATACATAATTGAATAACATATAATATAATTAACTGTATGATTATATGAATTTTTACGAGTTTTTATTTGAGTTTGATTTGGTTTGGGTTTTGGTCGTATGAATTTGATTTATACCAATTTTATGCATGCATCTTTTTTAAAATTATGGAGAATGACTTTTTTTTTTTAAATGGGTTTATTATAATTGCCCATATTTTGACCAAGTTAAAAAAAATGGAGTCAATATAAGTCAAAATTATAAACCGTCTTCGTCATAGCATATATATTATAGTGTGTTAATTACACAAATATTTTTATAATTTTTGAACACTTGTACAAAT